CAGCAGGGACGGTCATGTGTTTGCGCATGTGTGTGTGTGTGGGGGCAATGTCCTTTTATTCTAGACTTGCGCCTGCGGGTGCTGTTCGAATGCCTTCTCATTTGTGGAGTTGGTCGCTTGAAGCTGTATCAAAGAGATTTCATAGAACGGCCCATCACAAGCATCAGCCCATCACACTCATCATGGCCAGCTGCTGTGGAGTCAAGAAGTGGAACGGCAAAAGCAAAATGGAGACGGTTGACATCCTGGCGATGAACATGCCACTTTCAAAGCTCAAAACGTACCTGAGGGAGCTGGAGGCTTCCAAATGGTCATCAGCGCGCCTGCTAGCTAGAGATGTTGAGACGGCAATCTTGTTGCAGACAGACAAGCCGAAGCCCCATCCGGTCCAGCTCAGAGAGTACACGAGTTCCGCGCCCACTCCAGGCGATGAGCTGTAGGTGTTTCACTGTTTCACTCGTTCACTGGACAGCTGAGTGCATCATCTGTGCATGAACTTACACTGCGTGCACTAACTGGCAGCTGTGAAACAACGAGCTCATCTCTTTATGTTTGCTTAGTTTTGCTCGTGCAGATGCGCATATACATGTACGTGTAACATATCAGTGTCATTGACTGTTCAAACCTTGTCATGCAATATGGCGCAACGTGCAATCAATACCCGCTGAAAGTCTAGCAGCAGTTGATGTGAGCATGTATATGCTTTTCCAACCATTTCAAACCTTGTCATCCAATGTGTGCAAAGTGCAATCAGTATCCGCTGAATGTCAACAGTCACTTGACAATGTTCCCATGTGCAAGCATGCACTCCACATCTCTCTTGCGCAGCCACTTATAGACGCTTTGGCACACCTCTGCCACACGCAGGGCAAAAGCCCGCGAGAGCAGGGCACCTTTGCTCGCTCAATGGCAGAGAAGCTTGTGGAGGTTGTTTCATCCCTTCATGCATTCTTGAAGACCCAAGAAACGATCTTGGCAGCCGATGCTCTGGCAGAAGTGCGCAAGTCGCACAAGATGGCATTGACGAGCAGGATCCAATCACTTCCAGAGCTTCCTGCTACAGATGCAACGGAACTTGTCCAACTCATTGCTCAGGGCCCTTGGTTAGCCGACGATGTGAAAGAGCTCTCTCAGGTGATCAATGGAAAGATGATGAAGTCCATTGGTGAGAAGCCTGTCAGAAGACAGAACCAAACATGTGCGTCCTTTGCAGGCTACCTGTCGAAGCAAGATTGTCAAGTGCTGTCGCAGCAGGACATCACGCACGCAGTCAAGCTTGACACCCTAGCCTCTAGATGCGTGAAAGTGGGATTGATTTTGCCAAGCGCGCCTTTGGCTTATATTCAGGTTTGTTAGATGTTTTGGGGGTCTGATTTGTTTGGGAGGGTCTGACGTGTTGCGGAGTTGCCCACGTGTTTTTGCAGTGCAGTAATGTGAGGAAAATGCAGCTGCTTCTGTCTTTGCAGCTGGACGAGTTGCCGGGTTCACCACCACTGATTCTGCCAAGAATGACTATAGCCTTTTTAGCGAGTTGAAGAAGACGATCAAGCGGAAGGCTGGTCGGGTAGCAACTCCTGACTTCATCGCAACCTTTCCGCCCAACCCTAGAGAGTTGTCGATCTACCGGGATGCCTATACAGACGATGACCCGAATGCATCGCAATGAAGAATGCAGTGGTTTATCGAAGCACGAACAAGTCGCTGAGGGATGATGCCTCGAAGCTGCAGCAGGTCGTGCCCATAGCAGCACCAGCTCCACAGCACGTGAACCAGCAGCAAATGGCCTTCATGCACCTCATGCAGAATTTCGCTGCTTTCATGAGTGGGGGGGCGGCTTCTTCAAGCTCTTCAGCTGCTGGCAATTTGACCAATTTCCAAATGTGCGGGCGCCAGCAGGCACCACAGCATGCATTGCCCGCAGTGCCTGGATTGCCTGCATTGCCAGCTCCATCACCTGAAGAGACACATCAGGTGAAGGATACACCGACGCCACCACAAGCACACGGCGCAAGAGTGGAGACTACACCACCGCAGGCAGAGGTGACACCACCCTGCAGACGAGGGCAACTAAGCCTTTTCACTCCAGAAGAGCAAGCCAAACGGGTGCAGGAAGCATTTGAGGCAAGGGAATCAGTGAAGATGATGAAGCGCCCTTCTAAGAGTCCAGCATCGACACCAAAGCCCAAAGCCGCCAAAAAGGCCAAGGCTAAGGCTTCTGGCAAGAAACATGCTTGGCTGGGGGAGTTTGAGACCATCACAGACCGGCTGTGTGCAGGGATTCCTGGCTGCTCAAAATGCTCCGGTGCAACGAATGGTTGTGCCGAGTGTCGTGAGCGGATCAGAAAGTACAAAGCTCAGAGTATGGGTTGAATGGTCAGCTCATGAGGTGAAAGGTGAAAGAGGCATCACGCAACATGCAGGGCACAAGGGTGCTCGCAGAGCTGCAGTGATGCGCTCTGTACTCACCCTATGACGCCGCAATGCAGCAGGAAAACAAGAGTCGCATGTCGTATGAAGACAGACTGTTATTTTGAGATGTGTTTGACACTTCGATGTTGCTACGCAAGAGCTGTTTCGAGAAGAGAGGCTGTGCGATTGAAGATTGAAGTGCGGTTTGTTCTTTTCATTTGACTTTGCGACAGTTGTTGTTTCCATGTACTTTTCCATGTGTGCTTGCCTTGTTGACTAAGTCGACTGATCTAGTCACTAGTCACTTGAGTCTACAAATACTTCCATGTGTGCTTGACTTTTTGATTGTATCGACTGATTTTGTGACTTGAGTCTACTACAGTTGTTTGGCTGAGCGTGTGGAGCGTGAGAGGGTTGGGCGGTTGAGTCATTGCGGAGTCACACGTGCTACGATGTCGGAGCCCTTGATCCAGAAGCGCCATTTGACGCGCCAAGAAGCAAGGCAGAGCATGCAGGAGCTCATGGCCAACGTTGGGAACGAGGGGTGGTTCTTGGCGCCCCCGGCGTCTGCGCGCAAGGTGAATGACTTGTGCGAGCTTGTGGCAGAGGATGGCTTCGATGCTGTGAAAGATAAGAAGGTTACGCTGTGTGAGACAGGGATGCTCAGCCACAAATACAAAGTCAAAGCAGTTGATGAGGTTTCGCAAACCATCCAGTTTGAGGGCTGCGGGCGTGGAGGGCCGTTTCTGGCAAGGCCAGTGAACTCGAAAATCTTCAACATTGCCTGGAATTGGCTTGATGGGATTCCCGTGGTGAGTGTGCACTCCATGTCAGGCGACACGGTCGAGCACTTCATCTGCTCATGGGCTGAGCGTACGCGGGACGCTTCGGCAGGGTCATCAACCAAATGATCGATGGCACTACTTGGAATGCCACCGAGCCCGAGTTTCGCATGGCAAAGTTCGTGTTCGGCGAGCGGGTCTTCGACGTGCGGTCGCCACGCACAGTGCAGTGGATGCTCTTGCAGAGTCCATTTTCAGTCGATGATCCTGATGAGCATTCCCCAATTCCAGTGGCTATGCCAGCAAAGCGTCCCAGCGCGAAGCCAAAGGGGCTGAAGGTACTGAAGCGCCCAGCAAAGCGGAGCGCATGAGCCTGGCTTTGTTCGCCCATCATGGAGATGACACACTCACATGGTTTTTGACAGTTTTTGAAGGGTCACGCAGCGTTCAAAAAGAGTATTGTCTTGCTTGCCGCGATGGACATGTGTTTGATGCCAGCACTTCAGGCAGCAGAAAATGGTTTTACAATTGTTTTCTCACGCAGTTGCAGGGCACACGTGCTCGCAATATGCAGTGAAACATCTTTGTTTAGTGTGACTTGCACTCCAGCAAGGCTTGGTGGACTCCGCTCAGGCGTGGTTCGGTGTGGCGTTCGGAGCGTGGAGGTTTTGAACAGTATGTAACCATAGCCTCTAAGTCTGCAGGACTCTTGATGCAGTCAGACATTTTGCAATGCACACCAATCATGCTCGTCAGTAGTGCTGAACTGCTTTGGTGGACGAGTTGTTGTGACTGTGACTGTTGTGAATGCAACATGGCTTCCAGCTTGCAGTGAAAAACAGAGTTTAGACTTGCATTGGGGAACTCCTTGTATCTATATATATACATACACATACATACATACAGAATTATCTCGTGGCCGCACACAATAGTGAACGTCCTGGTATTGTAAATATTTACTTTATCGTACTTGGCATCGCCCACAGTGTCATTAGCAAATGGTGGACCTGTCCCGCTTGGGGAAAAAGTCCTTTGTCAGCCAGTCGGCCCTCTCGCAAGTGCTGGCTGACTTGCGGAACGCCGAGGAGTTGCCTTCAGCTTGTTCGAGACAGTCGATCAAGAGAGCACGGGTTGCTGCCATAGGGGGTTTGACGCCTTTTGGTTCGGTAGTGAAAGAGTGGAGTGTAGAAACGAAAACTGGTGGCCAAAAGAATGTGACATATGTTTGCCCTGCGGCAATGCTACACTTCACTGCCCAGAAGTGTCCCGGTTGGTCGGCAGCACTGAAGCTGCTTCTTTCCCAGAAGACATCGACTCCTGCATCCCCCTACCGGCTGATATTGTACGCAGACGAAATATCGCCTGGCAACGTGCTCAAAGCAGATAACAGGCGGAAGGTGTTTGCTATATACTGGGCAATAGCAGAGTCTCGCATGCACATTCAACCAACGTTTATGAGAGTGACTATCTACCAACATAGTTTTTGGAACCCCCTGTCTACACGGTTCTTGCGCATGCGCGTGCTGAGGAACTTGGCGGCAGCTTGCTGTCAGCCGAACCATCTTGGTTCATCTTGACGTGCCTACGTTCGAGCATTGTCAGAAAGGAAGTTGCTGACGGATTTGCCCAGCTGGCCAAACTGGCATTCCTGTCACATTTGTTGAACCAGGCATGGATTTCCGCAGTGGGCTACAGCTAGACTTTCACTGTGGTGGTACTGGGTTCCTGTCCGCTGTGCCGACAATTCTCGTGTCCGATGAAGGCGCCATTCGGGATTGCTTTGCATCAAAGGGTGCTAGCGGGTCACTGATGTGCATTTTGGGCAGAACCACGGTGTCAAAAGCGTCCACCCTGGCTCGGTCGTCCGACAGCGTGATAGAACACACAGAACTAGACGTGCGCAAATTTGTGCTACACTCTGATGCTACACTGCGAGACAACCATAGGCATCTGGCGGCCCAATCTGTGGTGCTCAACAAGTCACAATTCAGTAGCCTGCAACAAAGACTGGGCATAAATTATTGCCCAAGAGGTCTTTTGGCGTTGGATACTGTTCAGGCTTGTGGGTTTAGCGTCACAGAAGGTTTATGCTATGACTGGATGCATTGCTACATGGTATCAGGCCTGTTCCACTTGGAAGTGACTCGTTGCTATTTACATGTCCCTTTGCAGTGATCGTCAAAAGGCCTCCTAGGTTTGTGTTGGGGATGCGGGGAGTTCCACTTGTAAGGCTTTTGCGTAAAGCAATCTGTGTTGTAAACCTCAACAGGTCAAAAACAGTACATATAGGCCATTACAAGAATCGGCAGGGTTATTGCTCGCCAAAGCAGGGCATAGCTTGTAGTTGGTGCTCGCTGATTCCAGGTGACATTGCTTCTTGGGGCGCTAGCAGGGGCAGGTATTCGCCAAGAAGAAGTCCACCAATATGTCAGCACCTTTGTGTGGCCTAGTTGGATAGGAGGGCGTGCAGTCGATGCCACCAAAGTTTTGGAGAAAAAGGTCGACCTGTCCAAGGACAAGTTCAAAAGCAGTGCGTCTGAGGGTTTGTCGCTGTACCCGGTACTGCTGGAATTCTTGAGGTGTTTGGATCCGAGACGAGTCACTGAGAAAGTGGCAGCAGCACGCAAAGTGTTTCAGCATTTGTGTGGAGTGATGGATCTTCTACTGTTGGCTGCAAATGCAGGGAGAGTTGCTCCACGCAGCCTTCAGAATGCAATCACCCTGCATTTCATGGAATTTACTCAGGTGTACGGCAAGGACTTCTTGCCTCCAAAGGCTCATTTTGCCATGCATCTACCATGGTCGCTGGAAAAGCACGGTTTCTTGCCTTCTTGCTTTGTGCAAGAAAGGCGGCATAAGGAACTCAAACGGTACGCTAATCAGACTGCGACTGGTGTCCCTGGAGTGGAGCGCTCGGTGTTGGAGGAAGTGACTCTGTCCCACACCATGGATTTGGAACAGTACAACGGGCATGGCGAGTTGGACCTCGTAAAGGGTAAGGAAGCGTCAGGCGAGTTGCATGCAGCCTTTTGCAAGGCCCATCAATTGTTGGTGGCACCAGGGTTGACCGTGGGAAGATCTGTAACCTTTGGTCTTGGAAAGCGGTCTGTTGCTGTTGGAGACGTGGTGGAGATCATGGACGGTACTTCATTAGGCAGGATTTGCCAGGTCAAGTGCTGCTTCGTGAAGTTTGAGGCCACCGTGTTCAGCCTGGTGTCTGTTTGGGATGATGTGGATGTGAAAAGCTCTTCATGTCGGCCCATGGAGAACCAGGTATGGGTTGAGGCTTCTCGCATCGCATGTTGTTGCATTCACCGTGCCACACCTGAAGGGTTGTGCACAGTGATCCCCATTAGGCGCTGAAAAATGGTGGCCGGCCTTATTATTCCAAATCCAATCAAAGCATCCAAAATGATCTTCAGATTGACAGGCAATTTTCTCTTGTTTGTGTTGTTCGATACCTCGCTACAACTGTTCACAATCAATGTAGGCTGGCACCACTTACTGACTCGCTTGCTCAGTGATACGCGCTGCTTCGACAGGCGGCCCGCCAAAGATTCAACTCAGCAGGGCGCCCAACATTCTCATTGTGGCAGGGCTATAAAGCCCGCCACTGGCAGTGCAATTTGCACGCCGTGGAGAGGAGGGTGCCACGGAGGGCGCACACCGTGGAGAGGAGGGTGTGGAGTGAGAGGGGCTGCGCAAATATGTTTTTTTAAAAATTGAATGTATGTATTTCACATTTATGTACATATATACCAAACGGGAGGCACCATGTTTGTACGGAGAGGAGGGTGCCACCCTGTGCAGCGGGGAGGGGCTGC